TTCGCGAGAATATATAATAACATCACGTTCGTTGTACACCGTCTGCTGCGATGTATCACCACGGGTGGACGGGAGGATAAATGGATAAAAAGAGGAAGCAACAAAAAAAAAATTAAAAGACACTCGTGATATTATAATGCGTATTACATGGTCGAAAAGTAGCGCGATCGTTCCAGAGGTCCAAAAATACATAGATATTCTCTTGGTGTTCTCGCTTTTGGGACAGATCTAGGGTTTGTATAGTTAACTCATTCGTTGTCGCTAGATGTCGCATTAAAAACTCGCAGCTAAATTAGCAAAGTCAGTGGCTCATACGATGCTGTCGTCTTTTAAATTTGATTATAATTGTCTTGATGATCCTCTGATTGCGTTACGATCGAGCTTGAAGAAGCGATGGGCCAGAATCGTGCGTACACTAACGCCGCCGTCGCCGCAGCTGCGGCTGCTGTGGGTGTATAGAAGCTCGCAAGAGCCGGGCGAACGTGACCCAACTATAATACCCGATATTTTTACGATACGCGACGACGATGATAACCCAAGTAACCCTAGCCCGAATGGATCACGTCCATCGAGCGTGGACATATTAAATCTGTATGTAATATACAGCCGATCGCGCACGCGTCTCTCTTGCTGGATAAATACGATTAGAAACATCGAGTAAACATAAACACACACAGACAGACACATATATGCACACGTGCGAGAGAGGCGCGCATATGCACGTTATACGTATATAAATCCCGAGCTTCCTCTCACTTTTTAGCTCTCGGACTCGACTACTACTACTGCTGCTACTACTATATGCGTTCCTCTCTACAACTCTGAGTGTATATATATGTGTGTGCTCTCCTGTGTTTATGTGTGCTGCTGCTGCTGCTGCTGCTGCACGAACTGCGCAGTATGTATATAATGCAACCCTGCGCTATACCGCGCGATCTCTTTTGCGGCCGCGCGCATTGTAAGCAGTGCAGTAAGTGAAACAAAGGGCCTATATATGTGCCGATGATCGCAATTGCATTTAATAAAATATGTTATCATTATAACGTGGATATCGACGTAAACGAGAGAGAGAGAGAAAATCCAAGCTCAGATTTACAAACTTATTATGCACGGAGAAAAACCCGGAATATCGTTAAGAATCGGTAAGTATAACATAATAAATATCGTATCGTAACTTTTGTATACGTATACGCGCGCGTGGATTATAACCATTTTTTTCTCTTTTCTTTTTTTTGTCTTCTTTTTTGCAAAGAGAAAGTCTCTCGCGCGGAGTTGTACTCGAAGCGCGTGTGTATACATAATATCGCGTGGCCCCAAAAACGACTCGAATTAAAACGCGAACGAAAAAAAGAAGTAATCCGAACGATCGAGGCCGGGCTCTTCGATGGGCCAGCTCGTTTAAACAAAAAGCGGAGTTCGATAGGGCTTCGATATTCTTTATTTTCGATACACGGACGTCGAAAATAGTCTCGCCTCTGCAGCACAGAACGGTATTATGATATTATAATATGTATGTGATACATGCATATATTATGAGAGGATAACGCGCGCGCATTTAATCTTGCTACCACTAACTGCGACACGTATATTTCATATGTATACCGCAAATGTGCACGCAACAAAAACACATCGCCACCACCATCATCGTCATCATCGAGTATACACAAACACACACATATCCAGAGCTCTAATGTAGCTGCTGATCTCCCTCTCGCGATCGCGATAAGGTGAAAATTTTCCTAATCCACCGCAGCGCACGAGAGAGAAACTACTCATCGAGTACTGTGCACTGTGCACGCGCAACCGATGTGCAATACAATAATAATATCGTCATTATCGTACGCACGCACACGTCCATACATGGGAACAAAAAGCAACAATTGCTATATATTTTCAAGATTTTTTCGTAACGATTGTCAATATTAATTTCGGTAAGAAATCCATTTTCAACAACAACAACAACAACAAAGAAAATCTCGTGCAATCGCACACATACACACACACACACACACACCGATGTGTATCATGTAGAATAATAATCGGTCGAGAGCTCGAGCGAAAACAGCTCGAGTTTTCACTTTGCCTTCTTATTATAAACGAGTGGTAGTAGTAGTATTCTCCGTAATGTGCATTATACGCGGCGTGTTGCGGCTGCGGTGTATATAGTATATATGCGAGGATTAGCGCGCGAAAGAGAGATAAACAAACGCGCGAGCCTTAATTTTCTCTTCCGCGCGTGTGCTGCGTTATAAACTACGCAACGAAAGTGTGTCAACGCTTTATGATACGACAATGATGATTTCCTATAATTCGAGCTTCCTCGTATTATAGACGTGGATATGGAAAAAATGTGAAAATTTCGATTAAAAATGACTCGCTTCTGTATCGGAGCAGCTTTAAGGTATATAATATGTATATAGGCTCATCGCTAAAGACGTCGTGGTAGTTAGTAGTCGCTTTAGGTGCGGCACGGAGAGACATACGTCAAACGCACAGACACACACACAGACACGCGATAATAGCAATATAGGCAGCTGAGCTCGTGTTACATACGTATATAGCACATACGAATTTCTGCAGTGGTGTTGTGCATTAGCGTCGGGCCGCGCGCGTCGACGACGACGAAATGATGAATGCACCTACACAAAGGCTCGTTAAGGCGCGTATATAGCGCGTCAAGCCTATATATATATATCTATGCGCAGGTGTGTGTTGTACGACTACTACTGTATATATGCATGAAAATCTAATCGTGGAAAAATAATGGGCTAAGACTTTTTGTGTTGCATATATAGCATGTATATGTATAACACGTAAACAAGCGAGCCATATAAGCGCGTCGTCTCTCGTTCTAGAGAGAGAGAGAGAGAGAGAGAGAAAGAGAGTCGAAGTCAGCAGCGAAGCTCGTGTCTATGTGTTTGTGTGTGTTTGTGTGTGTATGTGCGCAGCCGACACACGAGCTGCTGCTGATGATGCTCGAGCCAGAGCGAGACGGAGCGAACAAAGGATCCCCTTGCGTTTCCCCACCCTCGCCTGTCCGCCTGCCTGCCTGCCAGTGCCCGCCGCCGCGCGAAATCCCCCTTTTTCACCAGACGTGTACACAAGCTCACACACACATTTATAAACACACAGAAAGTAGAAAGACCGAGTTTGTATTTGTGTATGTATGTGCGTTATTTGTTTGTAACTTTGGGATAAGCACATATAGTTTTGGAGACGCGTAATTTTATACGGAGCTTTTTTGTCTTTCGTGCTTGACGATGGCGTTTCGATTAATTTCGATCGATATTACACAGCGACAAAAAAAGGAATCGATAAAGAAAGAAGAGCAAGAAGAAGCTCGAAAAATTAAGAGTCGTTTTCGTTTGTATACAATAAAATATATATCGGAGCAAGAGAGAGACGACGACGACAGAGTTCGCGGCCATTTAAATGCAGCCGAATGTATGTTGTGATACACATATATATACGTGTCTGTATGTGTGTGTTGTATACATCAGCAGCGCCGAGCTCCGAGCGCAGTGCGCAGTGTGCGCGCGCGCGTTCGGGGGATTTAAAGGCCTATATAGGCCTATCGTGTATAAAACGTAAACACTGCGTTTCTTTCTCTTTCTCTCTCCTTCTCTGCTGCTGCTGCTGCTTTGCCGATGCTTGTATACTACTACTGCTGTCGTCGTCATATGTACCCACGTATATAGCGCGTGTGTGTATATATGTGTGCGTATGTTTTGATGCTTCGTTATAAGCAAAACAAACTCCGAAACGCGCAGCGCAGCGCGCAATTCCCGATGACAGCAGCAGCAGCAGCGGCTCTGCTGCATCGACGTTATGTGGCATTTAAAAGGCACAGAAGCTGGTATACTCGTTAACTGACACACACAAACACACAAACAGACAACAACAACAACAAAAAACCTTGTGTATAAAGGGTATACAGTAACAGCAGCAGCAGCTGATACAAGGATGTGTGTCTATGTAGTAGTTATACGTTTGCGTGCGCAGCAGCAGCAGCAGCAGCGAAAGGATACTTTTTAAACATTTATATACAGAAGGCAGCTAGCTAGGTAGGCTGCTAGGTAGCTAAGGCAAAAATACACATATATATATAATCAAGGAGAAGGGGAGTGAACTGTGTGCTGCGCGCGGAGGAGCAGCAGCAGAGCTCGAGCTCGAGGTGTACACACTGTACTATATGTAGGATGCACTTCTCTCTCTCTCTCTCTCGTTGGGCACAACGATGGAGTTGAGAGAGAGAGAGAAAGAAAGAAAGAAAGAGAGCTTCTAGACTCTCTGAGACAAAGAGACACACTGTATATTACACAAACACACACACAGAGAGACAGGGATATATAACGACGCTCGAATTCGCCAACATCGATTCTCTTCATCAATCGACAAAAAAAACAAAGATTTTCGGGGTTTTCTCATTGCGATGACAGCATCGAAACACGGAAATTCGCGAGCTTCCTCGTTCGTTATGTATGTAACACGACAACGGTGCATATATACACGTATCGTACATACATCACACGCACACACAAAGGTACAAGTACACCAGCACCAGAAATTCGGATCGATATTATATTTCATAAGCCGTGTGTCGGAGCACAAGCTCGTCTCCGCAGCACTTCCTAGAGGCTCTCTTTCTCTCTCTTGCACACTTGCGGACACACGGAGCATATATACGAGAGAAAAGAAAAAAAAGTTAGAGAGAGAGAGAGACGGAGACGGAAAAGAAAACCTTCTTTCCTTCCTTTTTTTTCGTACACTTATCATCGTCGTTTGCACACACACAAACACCCACAGGCGCACACACATACACGCTCGAACACAATTGCCAACTCGCACGCACGCGCACACCAGGCCACCACGTATATAACGTTATTTTATATTAATGTTTATATTTGTGTGTGTTGTTGTTTTTAGTTTTTATTATCGTTAATGAAAAAAATTATATACAATCCCCAAATAAAGGCAGTAATTTGACAGTCGACACTTACTTCGTTTCGTTTATAACTCTTGACTCGCTCGTGTGTGATTAATCTTGCGTACGTGTGTGTGATTCACTGGTCGGCTCGTCGTCGTAAAATTCACTTTTTGCGTTGTTGTTTGTTGTTGCTGTTGTATATAGCACTCTTGAATCAAAACAACGCACAGAGTCGAGAAATCGCTGCTGATTCTTCTTCTGCTTTTTGTTTCGGAATAAAACAATAACAACAATATAACTACTCGTCGATGGATTATTTATCTTTTTTTTTGTCAACTGCGTCTGGTCCTATTTAATATATCTGTGTTTGTTTCGTGTACGACGGAGGTGTCAAACTTTATTTCCTTTCGTATATTATTACACGTTAATATACAGAGATAGACGCACACAGATACATGTACGTACAGATAGAGTAGATAAGGGCTCTTTTATTTCTTGCTCTTTTTTTAAATAAAAGTAGCAGGTTTAGCAGTTACGCGAAGTGTTCGATGATATATTTATATATTTAATAATTATTTATACACTTGGAAGATTGCTTGTTGTGTATAGTTCTTTTCTTTTAAATTTAACTTTTATTAACTTATATACGTGATATATTTATATATTTATATTACATATATGTTTGTGTTTGTTATTGTTGTTGTTGTTGCTTGTGTCGTGTCGGTGTGTAATGAAGTAAAACGCGCAACGCCGTGTTATGCGGTTTTTTTTTTTTTGTTTTAGCGGGGCGTCGTGATGTATATTATGTGTGGATATTGCTGCTGTCGAGGGCTCGCGGCAGCGACTGACTGACTGGCTGACTGCTGCGGCTGTGTATAAGCATTGTAGCACACAGCAGTCATCGTCGTCGTCGTCGTCGCGGGCTGGCAGCAGCAGCCAAGCTATAACCAAGCCAACAACACACACACACACACACACAAAGATGTGTGCACTTTATATCTATACAGTGCAATGCCGTCAGAATCGAAGGAAGGGGGGAGTTGGTGCTGGTGTGTGTGTGTGCTCGAGAGCGGACAGTCCGGGGGCCGAGGGCATTTAACGGCCGCGCAGGAGAGGAGAAACAACCACACACACACACACACAGACGCGCACAAAGCACGATCGAACGTACGTGTAGCTGTGTGTCAGCCCGTCAGCTGATCTCCGCGGCCGGAGCTGGTGGGGGAGGCTCTACTCCAACGACACACACCGACACGCGACGGTGCATACACGCGCTGCATTGTATGTTTATATATCAGCATCAGCAGCTGCGCAGAGATACAAGCGAGACGGAGATAGAGAGAGAGAGAAGAGCTTCGTTGTATGGGTAGTATATAGAGCAGCGGCTGCGCGTAGTGCATCGAGGCTGCCAAGTGCAGTGACGACGAAACGCGGCGCATTATTAAAAACCCGCGAATTTCAAGTCTACTTTCCCTTCGTACGCAAAGTTCCGAGTCGTTGCAAAAATCGTAACGACGTGGCATAGCTTCGAGTCACTGATCCTTTCGTGTTCTTGAATGCAAAGCTCGAAAGCTCCGATCTCGACCATGAAATTTATACGCGTGCGTCTGCGCGAAGGGAAATACTGAATCGAAGATGATCGCTTTCGTGAGCGAAAATTTGTAGGGGATAATTTTCTTTTATATTAGTTTATTATTAGAAAGGAATTATTTTCTTAGTTCAAGCTCGGATTGACCAATGAACGTCCATGATTATTATATGTTGAAAACTGAAAAGAAATAAGCTGAAGACAGGTATTTATACCTAAGAAAACTTTGTTTTGCCACTTGACGGTTTACAACACTCCATCTGTCGGTGGAATCAAAAAGCTCTGATCATGATAAATCTTACTACGATACAAAACGTATTTCAAAATATTTGAAAATATTTGTTATACTTTGCAACATTTTTCATCGATATTTGTCTTTATCATTATTTTTATATCGGTCTTATATTTCGTCTTTCCGCAGTGAATTCAAGCGAATTTGTCTGACTTTGATTTAAAATCAAATTTAAACGTTTCGGACCAAATTTTCACGAGCTTTGGGGAAAATTGAATTATGCAAACTTGCAATAAAAATATTCATTTCAAAAACTGAGCATTTGATTAAGAAAAAAAAACATCCACAACCGGACTCGAACCCGAGACCATGCAGCCTCCTGAGCCATCGTCAATGTTTACCTACCGTAGCTTTAAAACTAGTATTAACGCTAAATATAGGTATTCCAAAAAAGTCGCAATTTTTATTCATTTCGGTTTGTTTTCGTGAATACGACATTTTCACTGTTATTTCGAAGTGGATTCGTCACTTCTGAGGGGAGGTTCTCAATAAGCTCGATCAAAGTATAAATTTTTTTGTTGTATTTTCGAATTGCTTATACTTTGAAGAATCCCTTGCTAAAATTTTGTAAAAAACCATGTTTTTTGAGACGGGCGCAAAGATATCTCAGAAGCTATTATAGATATCGAGATAAATTTTTGTTATTTTAAAGGGATATAAAATTATAATTTATTTTTTTTATTGTTAGTTCACTTTGTAGAGCAAGAAATGTGCAAAGACAATGTTTTTGGCAAATCATTTCAGTAAAAAATTGGATAAGTTACCTTGGCGCTTATGGAGATGTATTTTTTCGATGCATATTATTATTAAACTATTCGGTATTTTTGTTCAAAAAAATTCGTAATAACATACTTAAAAAGTATCAAAAAACTTGACAACTTTATTTACTACCATCTGAAAATAACGTAATTTTTTGGTCGCTCGATGAGAACCTCCCCTTAAAAGTTCCCTTTGTCTGTTTTGTAAATTGAAATTAAACTGTTGCTTCCTTTTGAAGCGGTTGCCTTCTCGTGTCAGAGGTTTTTCATTTCGATGGATAAAAATTTTTGAATCCGATGACGAAATTTTCGTTCGACAAAGGGCTCTGTGTAGAATTGAAAATTATATTTCGTATTATTTTTTAGAAATGCCAACGCAACTGCCCTAGATATTTTACTCATATGCCAACGGCAACAGTCCCATTGACTAATTTACATTTATTTCCTCTAGCAATGGATTCAGATTTCTTTTTTCTCATGTGTATACGTATCTCCGCGTGTAGCGCTCAGGTACGTATTCGCAAATCGTGCGCCTGAATGAACGAGATATTCGGGCGCGCCTGTACACGCTTCACGCGTACATCACTGCCAACGGCCGGTCTAGGAAAGGAGGGGAAAATAATCCCCGCAACAAGCTGCAACAACAATCGAGGGGTCTCCCTGCTCTTGTATCAGAAGTGTGCGTTTAGTCGGCAACGAAGAGCAAATGTGCTCGGTGTACACGAGTGTTAGTCGAGTTAAACAGTGTTTCCATAAAAAAGGAGTAGATATACGCGGTCTCAGCTGTACACGAGGTGTCGAAACTTGGTTATTTTCGCAAAGATATCTTAAAAATTTGCAGTAATTATACGCATCTACACGTTATCTGTTTACAAAAAAATGCGTGGCGTGAATACTTTTTTTCTCGGTATAATTCAGTGATGGATTCAATGGAAAGCAGAGAGGATACAGTCGCAGGTACACATTTTTTAATTCATGCTTTCATAATTTTTTATACGAGTGCATCAAACTTGATTATTCTTCAGGGTAAAACAAGAGCTAAACGATACTTGGCCGGGTAAAACTGATACTGAAACTACTGCCCAATTTTCATTTCATGACTACAGGACAACTTAGATACAAAAATATTTATCGATTTTAAGTGCAAGGATGTCAAACCTAAATAACACGATGAATCTGAAAAAGTGAAAAGTAATTTAAGCTGAAAAATTTTTTGCTGTGAGTTCAATGATTTAAATTATTTTCTATTTATCTGTAATTTTAAACTAATATACAATTTCTATTTCAGACAAAAAACATTCCATATCGACAACCATCTACAAATCTGATCATTGACTTGTCTGCCTACTTTATGTGAAAATAAAGTATCAAATTCGGACAAATTATTTCAATGAAAATAAGCTGATAATTTTGATAAAAAGAGTTTCTATTATAATCACTCTTATCCTAAAAAATATTCTCGAATATTTTCAATAATTAATCAAATTAAATTATTTCATTAGGAGTAAAATTTGTAAAGAAGTGAATCTTTGAAAGCACATATTAATATTATACTTAAAAAGATGAGGAAGCACGAATGTAAATTTTGTCACAACTTCTTCGCGTACAAAAGCTATCTCGAACGTCACATGAATGCGGTACACTTTCGATGCAAACCATTCAAATGTGACCAATGTACAACGGCATTCTTCTTCGAGAAGGATCTCAAAAGACACAAACTCTCGGTGCACGAGGGCAAAAAACCCTTCGAGTGCGGGATCTGCGGAAAATCGTTCGGACTGAAGTGCACCCTTCAACATCACGTCAGAGTCGTGCACGGTCGGAGCGAGCACTGCGAATGCCACGTGTGTCACAAGAAATTCGCCCGCAAGGAGAACCTTCGGTCTCACATAAAATCGAAACACAGCAAGAGCGAAGGCAAAGCTCTCGAGTGCAAAATTTGCCACAAGACGTACAGTCATCGAGAAATCCTCAGATGCCACATAGTGCAAGTACACGATTGCACCAAGTTCTACGAGTGTAACGTTTGTAGCGAATCCTTCGCGACCAAGGGTGAACTCAATAAGCACACGATCGAGGTGCACGAGGGTACGAATTCTTTCGATTGCGAAATTTGCCACGAATCGTTTGGTGACAAAAACGGCCTCTTCAAGCACTCGAGCTCGGTCCACGATCTGACGAAATACTTCGAGTGCGACCTTTGCCAGAGGATATTTTCGTTCAAGAGTAGCCTCAATAAGCACATCAATTTCCGTCACAATCCCGAAATATCTTTCGAATGCGACCATTGTCATAAATTGTTCGGCGACAAGAGTAATCTCAGTAGACACGTACAAAGCGTACACAGCGAAAGCAAAGCCTTCCAGTGCGAGATTTGCGAGAAATCGTTCTCGGAGAAGGGTAATCTCGTCAAACACATGAGCGGCGTGCACGCGCGCAGAAAGCCCTTCCAATGCGAGATCTGTTCCAAATCGTTCGCGCAAAAAATTCACTACCAAGTTCACGTCGACAGTGTGCACGATCGCAGCAAACCCTTCCAGTGCGACACCTGCATAAGATCGTTCGCGAACAAGAAGGAACTCGTTAAGCACATGAATTCGGAACACAATCAGCTAAAACCCTTCGAATGCGAGACTTGCCACAAATCATTCGCGCGAAAGCAATTCCTCAAGAAACACGTAGAGGTGATGCACGCCGGTGGCCCACGCGTCGATTGTGACAAATGTGACAAATCGTTTGCGTGCAAAAGTTACCTGTTAAAACACGTAAAGACGTGTCATAAAAAACCCTAAGAATGCATTGTCTCTTGCCATATCGACCACGTAAATGTAGATAATAAATTATTATTATTAATAATATCAATGTAATATTAAATAAAAGTAAAAGTAAATAAAAATCTCAATGAAATTGTTTAATTCCTATAACCTGCAATAAAACATCATTTTCACTAAAATTTATTGCTAAAAAATGTTTATTAAAAAAAGTTTATTATTGACAGGGGCGGATTATTTATTATGTGCCTCTCGAAGCTCGGAAAATTAAAATCGATGCATTAAAATAAGATTATAAATAAGTAGAATAAAATTCTCAGGAAGAGAATTTATTAATCAGGAGAGCTTCTAATCATTTTAAGAACGTAGAAAACACTTATTGATTTAAGGAGTTGCCTCGGAGTACTGCTCTAGTCAAGTTTTCATAGTTGCTCGTATGATGAAAGTAACTAGGGCTAGCGTTGTTCGCGTATTATATTGATCTGCTGTTGTGTGCAGGTTATGTGCATGGAATGTCACTAGGGTGGGCATTCATAAATAGTTTTCAATTAATTGCATTGTACTTACCACAAAACTTTCACAAAATAATGTAATCTTGCATAAGATAGTGTAAAAATGTTCTACTCGTATCTCTTAAACTAAGTAGCGAACTTGCACAAAATTTTCACAGTGCATTCCTATTATAAAAATGAGCATGTTTTCGTAATTTGGTTCAATTCCGTCTTATAATTTTTCGACGGAGGTACCTCCTTGAATTAAATAATTATTAAATGGTTTCCACGTTGGTCGTTGGATAAGCCAAAAAATGTGTGGAGAATCTGATTAAAAAATAAAGCACTAACCACGACAGAGAATGGAAGGTGTAAACAAATTGATGTTAGGTGAAACACAGGTCATGTTGGGACAATTTATGTTCCAATATCATGATGAAAATCAAGAGATGCGGTAGCACCTAGCCGGCAAAGTATAAAAAAAAAATTATTAATAAAAAAATTATATATTTATAAAAAAATATAATTATTAAAATAAATTTATTCCATTGAAATCCATAGAAATTAGGCTTATTAGCTAAGAAATGTCGGCTAGGTGCGGCGCACCTATTCTATACGTCTGCACGAGAGAAATAAAAAAAGGTAGTTCTAGTTAGGGTACTTCTGGTATTCGAAGTGCTACCAGATAGGTATCATTCGATAGGGAATTGAAAATAATGAACTCGTGCAAATGTTCAGATGATTTGGTGCATTGGATAAAAAGATAGAGCCATCTAAATTTTTTTTAGCATGAAAACACGTTTTTTTTCGATTTTTTGTCAAACATGAGTCAGCCACGAGATCTCGGGACATACTTAACCGATCGAAATTCTGACGCGAGATTTCGAAAGGTATACAGCTCTACTACGATAGTTCACTATCAGAATTTCCGATTTCCCGGAAAATTCCTCTTCTAAATCGATAATTGAGTGAAGTGCCGTTTAGAGGTTATGTTTCAAATATGTTTCAAATTTCGTTTTCATGTCAGCCATGAGATCTTGGCGAAAAAAAATTTTAACCAAATTCTGTCCGGTGATTCGGAAAGGTTTTGGGCCGTACTACAATAGTTCACACTCAGAATTTTCACTTTTCAGAAAATTTTGAGCTCTGTATCGATTCGTAACTCATGTGCAATTTTATGATATTTTTGCATACGCACGAGAAATCGTTGCTTTTGTGTCAGCCACGAGATCTTGGCGAAAAAAAATTTTAACCAAATTCTGTCCGGTGATTCGGAAAGCTTTTCGGCGGTAATACAATAGTTCGCACTCAGAATTTTCACTTTTCAGAAAATTTCGAGCTTCGATTATTAACTCGTTCGCTATTTTTCGATATTTTTCATTCATTTGAATAATCGTCGCTTTGTGGTAAGAAGAGATCCTATCCTTAATGAATGGCTTTCAATTTTGAAAAAAATCCAATGCGCACTCTATATGTACATATTCAAAATATCAACATCACAACATGTGAAACTCATTAAAACTCAAAATATGTTATTGTTAAAATCTCATTTTTCGATTTAACTACTCATAAATAAGTATGAGTCCCGGCAAAGTATTTTTTTAAATTTGAACAATTTTACGAAAACTCAAAATATGACATTGTTAAAATCTCATTTACCGATTTAACTACTTATAAATAAGTATGAATCCCGGCAAAGTATTTTTTTATCCTTTATAAAACACTTCACTCATTGACTTTTTCTCCCATCTCTTAATGGATAACCATTATCGAACTTTTTTATGATGACCATCATTTACTAAGAGAATTTAAGAAAGATTAGAAGTTTGAATGAATTACTGAAAGATTATATCGTCTCATAAAATATAATTCATTAAAATGTTTAAATATCAAAATAATCGTCAAAGATCACTTTTGCGTGCCCAGAGCTCATTGGCTTATATGTGAACAAAATCAATCTAATGCATCGAAAGAATTCGCACTTTTAATAATTTTAACCATTTTTCATATACCATTTAGTTGAATCCTCTCGAGTACATACAGAGAAACCTCGATATTCACGGTTTCACTATCCACGATTTTTTCTAATTCACAGTTTTTTTTGTGCAACTATCCCTCGATCTACATACGCGAATTTAAGAAGTCAGTATTCACGGTGTTGACTGGTTTTATAATCTTGTTGCTGAAGATGCAATAAGTAAAATGATCAAATTCACCATTTTTAGAATATAATATTATGGAAATTTTATTTCAGGGTCAAACTTAATGTGATATAAATTCTGAGTTGTTATTTACGATGTCAAGAAGTCTATTATTTTATTAAATTTAACTATATTTACAGCGTACACTTGCATCATCTTTTCCTAAATTATTTCTTTAAATTGAATAAAAATAAAATATAAATAAGTCCAATTTAACATTCATTTTTAGAGATTAGACATGAAATAGAAAGTAGTTTTACTAATTGAAGCCTCTGAAAAATTGAAAAAAATTTCACGACAGTACTTGGTGGCCAATGAGCTCTGGGCACGCAAAGTGATCTTTGACGATTATTTTGATATTTAAACATTTTAATGAATTATATTTTATGAGACGATATAATCTTTCAGTAATTCATTCAAACTTCTAATCTTTCTTAAATTCTCTTAGTAAATGATGGTCATCATAAAAAAGTTCGATAATGGTTATCCATTAAGAGATGGGAGAAAAAGTCAATGAGTGAAGTGTTTTATAAAGGATAAAAAAATACTTTGCCGGGATTCATACTTATTTATAAGTAGTTAAATCGGGAAATTGATTATACTTGTACACATTTTTTTTTCTAAATTTCAATAAAAATTGTGTTGAAACAATTGTGTCTTACCTAAACCTCGAGCGTGCAACTGTCATTACACCTTTGTACACTGTCATTGTAGTGTGGTGAAAATACATCAGCACAGATTTTTTTCCACTTCTTGTTCTGAACAGTGAATGGGGCGATCATTCAATTGGCTACTCAGTTTTTGATAAACCCCACGTAATAATATCGTGAATTTGAAATTATCAAATATGTCATAGACTGCAGATTATTCGCGATTATAAGATAAACGCGATCGGTAGTAACAATGAGCTTTTACCGTAAAAACCATTGAAATTTAATTGAAATCAAAAAATGTTTTCTTCATTTTTTTAAATTAGTAAAAGGTCGCATAATTGTTTTATCATTTTCTTGGTACTTTTATCAATAGAAAATATTAAGAGAATGTAAAGCAAAAGTTCAAACCCATACTATGACTTATACAAGTATTTTTACTTTACCACTTGCAGATTTACACATAAAGGTACTTGCCATCTAGTGATGAAGACCTCAAGTAGTATTTACGCATTTTATGAAGCGGTTGGAAACTAGCCTAAATTAAAAAAAATATCGGGTTTAAATCATATAAAATCTGCTTAATATCTTTAACGTAATTTAAACAAAAACATATCCAAAAACATTCAAATTAATTGTAGTGCATTTTAAAGTATTTTAAATGGCCATTTTTATTCATTGGGTCTTTATTAATATTGATCACTTCAACTAGGGTCCAATGTGTTGATAATGTATCACGCGAACCGTTTTATCTGATAAAATTATATTAACATCTTTTTTTTGATCCTACAATTCCTTCGTAAACTACTCGAACGCACTAATCGTTTCACGTCGATACACAGGTACACGCCGTGGACAAAGATCTCGGCTCTAACGGATTGGTGCGCTACAAGCTTCAGCGGCCCGGCAACGTCACCGGCAAAATACCCTTCGACGTCAACGCCGACACGGGCGTCATATCCGTGGCGGAGAGTCCGATACAGGAGGGACGCCACGCCATCTTCATCGAGGCGGCGGATCAGCCCTCGAATCCGAGCGAGCGTCGCTTCTCCCTGGCCGTGGTGACGATCGATGTTTTCCGGCCTGACAGTAAGTGCGCGATATTCCGATCGATGCAAATGTTTATCTTGAACGAGCCGAAACCTTCGCACTGTGCATCGTATAAATCATCAATTAGTTTGTCACGAAAGCGCGACTGCCGAAAATTAATTTTCGCATATTCGAAATAGCTCTTGTGCACTGTGCATTTGATTTATGTAGTACTCCCAATTGGCCTAATTAATCAAAAATACTTGAACGCTCCTCTCACTATATACTTTTTGCCCATTACGTAATTTAAGGCCAGGGTTCGAGGACTCCGGACTTCGTTGGAGCACCGTACGAGTTCTGGGTAGGTGCCAACGTACCCGTCGGCACGAGCGTCGGCCAGATCCGAGTCAACGAGGCCGTCAAGGGCAAAGACGTGGTCTACGACCTTCTGCACAGCTATCACGAAGGAGGTAGATGATCAAAAAAAAATTATTAGATTTTACGTATACTTCTATATATTACGCACGCGCTTCGATATATATTTATTCTTTTGTGCGTCCGCCACAAAAAGTGCCTTTCGCGGTGGAGGAAAGATCGGGCACGATCACGGTGGTCGACGAGATCGAGCAGTTCAAGCGGTCGACTTACGACTTCGAGGCCGTCGTGACGA